GAAGATGCTTACATGATTTTTGACATTTAAAATAAAATCTAAAACAACAAAACAAAAATGTAGCTTATTGGCTATATCTGGAAATCACATTTTTTAAATCAATACATAAATATTTATGAAATTAGTAAGTGAACTATCCGTAGGAATTTGAGAGTAGATTTTATCATGAAATTAGTAAGTGAACTATCTGTAGGAATTTGAGAATAGATATCTGTGAATCAACAATATGCCAGTTTTATACAGCTTTTTTTCCTGCAAAGTTTCAAATGAACTCAGGTATCTTCCCACATTATTAGCAAAGGGTTTTTAAGCTCTTATTAATTTATATTGAAAATTGGCAAGAAAAAAAAGCTTTCACTTTTTTAAAAAAAGGGTCTTTCTGAGAATAAATGAGCGCATTTTTCCTAATTTAAGATTGAGATTTAAGGCAGTAAAATGTGGGATTCAAAACAATTGTTAAATATTGTTTCTGATTTTACCTCCTTCTAACAATTTCTAATTCCATGGCATTACTATATTTAAAAATAGGGTAAGTAGTGTCATTAAGTTTTAAAATTTGGTATAATTTCAAATTATTTTAGCAGGTTATAAGACCTAAAATTCTGTTATATCTTCCATAGTAGCAGGGATTTTTTCCTTTATAGCTTATTTGTAGATAATAGTACAAAATTGTAGATGTATACTGTTTGGCATATTTTCTTCTTTCTGAAAACCACAACTGGTATAAGATTAGTGTTCTAATTCATATTTATTCAAAAGACTTATTACAATTGAAATTTTTGAAGTAGGAAATGTCTGTCCTTGGTAATTTAACCTGTACCTGAATTTTGGTATTCTTTGTCATCAGCATGAGCAGCATTATTAAGGAAAAGATTGAAATTCAGCTTTTTTTTTTTTTCTCTCTCTCTCTCTCTTTTTTTGTGGTGCTGGGGATTGAACCCAGGGCTTTGTGCATGCGCGTGCGGCACTTATTCTACCAACTGAGCTATATCCCCAACTCTGAAATCTGGCTCTTGAGTTATGAGAACTTCTTAAAATGCCAGATTCTTTTAAATACCCGTTTCTAGGCTCTTGAGGTTTTAATTAAAGCTTTTTTTCAAAAACCACATTTTTTAACCTTTTATTCTTTTTTTGCTCATTCTATTCTTAAACCATTTCCTTCTGTTTCTCTTCATTTTTTTTCCTTCAACTCTTTTGACTCCCTTTAGTATCTAGAAATGGTATTGGGGCACTAATCCAAGCCATTAAATGACCTGGCAAACCCATATACAGATGTAGTTCATATATTTTTGCACAATTTTCCAAGTGGAAAATTGAGTGTACTTGACCTTCTATCTTTATCTTGCTCATATAGAAACTTAAGAATTTAAAAAAACAAAAACAAAAACAAAACAAAAAACCCCACAAAACTCTTTCTGATATATATTAGGGTGAGTTCAAACTCTTGGACATAAGATATGTTTATATCTTGAATTAAAAGTTTTTAAAGAGGAAAATTCTCCCCTGAACTTTGGGAGAGGTTTCTATTCTGCTGCTTTCTCCCTGTTTTTTTTTTTTTTTTTTTTTTTTTGTTCTCAGTGGGTTAATTCATTCAGGGCTGCTTCTCTTTCCCTTTGCTTTTAAGTAAAATCATTTGTGGCTTTTAACCACACCACTTTGGGGGGTAGAATTTTGCTAACACATTAAAATCCATATCTGCCAGTAGAATCTCCTTTAAAGGCCATGTTTAGAAACTGAATTCTCACAACTGAAGGAACCTGACACAAAATAAATTGGTAAAGGGCATAGTTTTAAAAGAATAGCTGTTACTTCCTTAAAGAATTTAAATCAATTTATATAAATGTCTTTTATTGAAGCTACTTTGCACCAGAGCTTTCCTCAGTATATGTATTTATCTTTTTACTATGTATTTTTAAATAATTTTAAGGAACCATATATGTTCTGTTGTTTATTGAATAAGATTCCCTTCTTAACCTTTACTTCCTCATTAAATAATTTATACTTTGAAAATAAGGATTTGGTTATCTCCTTGATTCTATAATTGTGTATATTTTAGTACGACATATGAAATACAAAAGAACGAAATCCTTGCCTCCAGTGTATGTGTATTGAGGTTTTAATAATGTGAAAGGTAGGCAGTTTCCAGTAGATCAGCACTTGAGAACAGAGAGCTTAACCTGATTAAGGATTTTTAAAAAGGATTGTTCATGGTTTAGTTTTTCTTGTCCAGAGGTGACATTTTATATAGTACTGTTATTTCACTGAAGTTTGTAGTTTTTGCTTCCGGGTGATTTTGACTTCCTGATATTCTAGAAGTATAACATGTAAAATATACACATTTCAAAACACCGTTTAACAGACAATTAAAATTTAAAGGGTTAGAAAATCAGTGAGGGGAATGAGGTCATGAAATTAAACATCCAGAAAATATTTTTCTAACTGTTGCTTTGAGAAGAACTCTGTGGACACAAGATATGTTTACATCTTGGATTAAATGTCATTCTACTATTTAGAAATTTGTTTTAAAGAAATGTTTATAAAACATTTGGAAAATATCTTTTTTAGAGTTTATATTTTTTAAAATATAAAGTTGCAAAGGTCTTTAAAGATGTTTAATATTCTTAGAATTTCATTTTAACGTGCAAATGTACCCAGCAAGAATTTGGATGTAAACTTCTCTGGTACAGAATTTGTTATAATTAGTAAGGGAAAGTTAATATATTTTTGATTCTTCCCCCCTACCTTAATTGACTTTTCTTTAAAGTTGGTCATTGATCATCCTGTAGGCTACATTTAACATTACACTTATATAATTGATTACTTTTATCCTCTTCCCAATTCTTCTTTTCCTACCACTTAATTCTATGAACTGTTTTAAATCAAGCAAAACTCTTTCACTGCTTGTGCATATTCATTTGTTCAACAAGTAATTGAGTTTCTACACAAAGTCAGTTTTCATGGTGGGCACTGAGGATAGAAACAAGATTACCTGCACCCTTGTTTTCATAGAATGTATATTCTCTATCAGGGAAAATAGATACTCACACAGGTAGTTGTAATAAATCACAGGGTGTGATGGAGTGCACATCAAATCTAGATTAGGGTCACAGAGGACTTCCTTAACAGAGGAGACATTTACTAAGCTGAGACCTCAGAGTTAGGGCACTTCAGCATGTATGAAGGCCTAGAACACTGATGTGCACTAGTTACATTGGCAGAGTTATAAATAAAACATTTATAATAAGTGATTATAAGTCAGAGTTGTCTTAATAGTATTGAATAGCAGCAGACCTTCGTGTTTGTTTCTACAGTCTTTTGTGCCCCTTACTTTGAACCTTCTTCTGTCGCCTATTTCATTGTGTCCTTCCTCAGTTATTCCTGCATTTCTTTGCATCTTTGGTCTTTTTCTTTTTATTGTTTCTTCCTTTTTAGTATATAAATATGGTCAGCTTTCTACAAAATAGCTCCCTCTATACTTCCTCCTTTATTTTCTGTTAGACATAACCGTATTTGAAAAGTTTTTGTAGCCTTGTCCTCCCCATAAAAGACTAATTGCTATAGGAACTTTCCTCTTAAAAATCTAGCAAAACAGTGTGAAACAACCGATTTTTAGATATTGGAGAAAATCCAGTGCAGAACAGTGATGTCCTTTTACCTTCCGAACTTGTAGTTTTTGTTCCTTAAAATATACTTCATAAGTTAGTTAAAGATGAGGGAAGCCATTTATGATGTATTTTTTATTTTTTTGGTGCTTAAGGATTGAACCTATGGCCTTGAGCATGTTAGGCAAGCATACTACCAATGAGCCACATCCACAACCCTAAAGAAGCCAGTGTTTGGATAGATAAGTACTTTTTCATCAGGAATTAAGCCTTAAATAAATGAACTTGGTAAAAGATTTAATGGAGCCAGATGCAGTGGTACATACCTATAATCCCAGCTACTTGGGGGTTGAGGCAGGAGGAGCACAAGTTCAAGGCCAGCCTGGGCAATTTAGTGAGAACCCTGCCTCAAATTTGAAAATAAAAAAGGTATGGGGATATTGCTCAGTGTTAGAGCTCCCCTGGCTTCAATCCCCAGTACCGAAACAAAGATTTAATGCTTGTTTGTAGGAGGAGGTTAAATAAGGGTGCTTTTTTAAATTATTTGTTTGTTATTTTCTGGCACTGAAATTAAAACTGGGGTCTCACACATGCTGGGGAAGCACTCCACTGCTGAACTCCACCCCCAAGTTCCCAACCACCCTCCTTTTAAAAATTTTAATTTGAGACAGTTTATTTAGTTGCTCAGATTGGCCTCAAACTCAAAATCCTCCTGCCTCAACCTCCTGAGTAGCTGTGATTACAGGCATGTGCCACCTTACCTGGCTAGAATTTAATTTTAGATTTATAACAAAGCATTTAGTTTATACAAACATTTCTCATTTACTAATGGTAGTTTGCATTAGAGCTTTTCAAAGAATTTTCTAAGAATATATCTTTGACCTTTTAATATATTTTTCAAAGCATTTTAAGGGACTCAATACATTCTTAAAGTATCTACATAATTCTGAATGCCCAGAGTCTTGTGATTCACACATTTGGTAAAGCAGCATATGGGAGAAGGAAATGGAAATAACTAATGGGACATAGGTCTCAGCAATGGTGCTATCTGTCAGATTAGCAGTGAATCCTGGTGGTACCTTTTGATACTGTTTGGCAAGATCAATAGCAGTCTTTTGGTTTATTAGTATATCTTACTACTCTCTGAAATATCAGTTGGCTTTTGGTGATTTGGGGCCTAATAAAATTCAGAGGTATAATATTTTTTAAAAATCCATTTGTAATTTAAGGCAATTACTTTAAATATTAATCCTTTAGATATTTGATAATACTATGTTTAAATTGAATATAAATAGTTCTTTGACTCATGGTTTACCCAGCCAGTTTCACTTTATGTGTATCTTACAGACTTGGAACACTTCTTCATTTTCTTTCTTTCTTTCTTTCTTTTTTTTGTAGGCACATGAAGCAACATTGGAAGCTAGAGCCAGTCCAGAGATGAATGACCGAATTCAGCAGTTGGAGAGAGAGATTGCCAGGTACAAAGATGAATCTAGCAAGGCCCAGGCAGAAGTAGACCGCCTTTTGGAAATCTTGAAGGAAGTGGAAAATGAGAAGAATGACAAAGATAAGAAGATAGCTGAATTAGAAAGGTAAGGAGAGGGAAATTGAATGGGACTCACTGGGTTAGAAAAAGTAAAGTATGTATTTTTGAGGGCATACTTGTTTCAGTATTGTGTGCCTCTGAGTTTAGGGTCTTGAATGCTTGTTAATACTTTATTATCTACTTATTATTCTAAATCAGTACAAATTCTTTGTTGCAGTTTCTAAAAGGCAACATAGAAAGGGAGTAAATTGAGAAACTGTTGACCTTAAACAAAAGAGAAAGTATTCATTAATTGAAAAATTAAAGTTTTCAACTGACTAAGATAGAGTACAAATAACTACTTGCTTTTTATTATTTATTGTTCTAGATAATAAGAAAATGGTCCTCCTGTATAAGGAGTTAATATTGTATCATTGGTTTAGACCCTTTTGGCTGATCAGATGCTCTTTTGGGGTTGTGAATTTTTGACTAGGTTGTGGAGAAGCAAATTCTTACATCAGTCAATGAAGCGTGACATTTTAGGATAATTTTGGAAACGCAGATGTAATTTTTATGGGGCCTGAATTTGAATTCTTCAAAATGGGTATTTGAACAGATCCTGCCAGATATTTCTCTTAGAATTTTGTCTTTTTTAAATTACTTTATTCTGAAGACCAAGTATATGCCTGTTAATCTCTTATTTCATACCATGTATTTAACATGAACTCACAAGTGCATTGAGACAGCTCTTCCAGTAGCAATTGATTACCTGTGTTCTTCTAAACAGCCAGAAAAACTGACAGTGACAAAATGAAGTCACTAAGCTATGTGGCTTCTTGAGGGCTGGTTCTTAAGAATAATTTATTTTTATGTTCTTGAGGGCTGGGAAGTTTTAGATTACTTTCATAATTTATTTACTGAGTTTTAAATTTGGGGGGTGGTTATTGGTAGGCTTGTTATTTTCCACTGAAGTTATTTTTCCTCCCGTTCTACCCATATAATTTTGATTTTCAAGAAACCAAAACAATAAACTCCAACCCTCATAGTTTTACACTGTATGAAAATGTGAATAACATGGACTTTTGACCTGCTGGCACGTTTTCTCTTATTTTGGTATTAACTCTATTCTTTTTCTCTAGTTCTGGATAAGACAAATGGATATAATTCTTTAAATCAAAAATTTAAAACTAAGAACTCTTGATTGTAGACTATGCATTTTTATTTATTTGTTTTTCTAAAAATATCAATTTTATTTGTTTATTTATTTTTAAATGTGGTGCTGAGGGTGATCAAACCCATTACCTCACTCTTGCTAGGCAAGCACTCTACCACTGAGCTACAACTCAAGCCCCTGTGCATTTTTATTCACATTAATCTTTGCACTGTGTTCCTTCTCCAGCATGTGAGCATGCCCCATGTATATACACAGACACTCTTATATATTTACATTAATACATATCTGAATCTATACCTCCTTTTGCTTTTTTAATGGGCCTAAAATCAGCAGCAGTACTGCATAAACATTAAAATATGATACTTTTGACTGATTACTGACATCTCATTAAATGTATTTCAGAAGTTGCTTGAGAATATTTCATTTTTAAATGTGATTTTTTATATTGGAAATCTGCATTTGAAGCTGAGTGAGGTGGTCCATTGCTCATAAACCTAGCTACTTACGAGGCTGACACAGGATTCAAATTCAAGGCCAACATTGGCAACTTGGTGAGACCCTGTCTCAAAAAGAAAAAGACTGGGGATGTAGTCTAGGGTAGAGGAGTGCCTATTATTCATGAGTGCTGAAGTTCAATCTTCAGAACCACATTAAGAAAAGAAAAAGAGGAGCTAGGGCTATAGCTACTTACCTGGCATGGGTGAGACACTGGGTTTGAACCTCAGCACCACATAATAAGTAAATAAATAAAGTTATTAAAAATATGTATGTTTTTTAAAAAGAAAAAAAAATCTACGTTTTGAAAATATTGCTTGCTATTCCATGAAGCTTACTTGAAGAACATTATTGCATTTTGGGACTTATACTGATTTTGGGAGATGGACATAATGTGAGGGAGAATAAGAAACAGAACTAAGTCTATATCTTGTATCCAAAATACACCAAATAGCTGCTTTTAATAGTGACTTTGTTTTTCACTTTGTAAGAAAGAGTTATAAATGACCGATGTAACTTTTAGTGTATTGGAAAAAGCATAGTTCTAGCCTCTCTGCTCATGCACCTGTAATTTTGTTTGAGGATTGGAGACAAAGATTTTTGCCTATCAGAAAATAAAATAAAACTGCACACCAAAAAACAAACTAACAAACAAATGCAACATTTTTTCCAACTCAGTTTTTGCTGTCAGCTTTGTAATTTGTTACTCAGAAACATAGTTTGAGGTATTGAATAAACAGTAGCACCACAGAATTTGTGAAAGAGATCTACTATGGCATTCCCCACCCCCCTTGCAAACCAAATTACTTATTTATTTACTTATTTACTTACTTATTTATTTATTATGTGGTTTTGAGGATCTAACCCAGGGCCTTGTACGTGCTAGGTGAGCGCTTTATCACTGAGCCACAATCCCAGGCCCTCTATTATGGTATTTTATGAAGAGGAAACCAGGAGCCAAAGAAATTACTCCTGAAATTAAACAGTGGTGGAGCTGGACCTAATAGAATGGGGTTTTAAATTCCAGCTCAATTTTCTTTCTATTTCAACAAGATTAATTATGTTCTTTTTGGACTTACTGGCAACTATGAAACACTTCCTACCTCGATGGGATTTATTTTTTGCTCATTGTTGAACCAATGTCTTAAGCAAAAGTGTCTATAGATAGGATTATGACTTACTTAAAAACTAAGGTATATTTTAGTTTTACTTAGCTTTTGAAGGCCATTTTTTAAAGATGTGTTGACTTTTTAAAAATATTTTTATTAGTTATTGATGGACCTTTATTTATTTATTTGTTTATATGTGATGCTGAGAATTGAACCCAGTGCCTCACACATGCTAGGCAAGTGCTCTACCACTGAGCCACAACCCCAGCTCCTTGAAGGCCATTTTTAATAAACTGAACTGTGCTTATTTGGGGAGTTATTCAGTGCATTTTATGTTAAAGACAGCTGAGATTATGTCATATATTTGTTCCTAGATTTAGTACTGAGGTGCATGTGTGTGGCTGCTGTGTTTCTTACTAACCATTTGCTTCTTGTGTTGCCATTCCATTGTTTCCTGTGTGTATGTATGGGGTGTCTGTTTCCCTGTGTTTTATCATTTTGAGTTTCTTCATCTTTCTTTTGATTTGTCTTACCACGGTCCTGTTCCATTGGGGGTTTTTGTGTCTTTTTGTTTATTTGTGTGTGTTCCCTCTACCCATTGGCCATGCTGTTTCTCAGAAAGCCAGTCTCCCGCAAATTGTACCCTCCACACCAGGTTTCTGTCCCTGCACCACCTGGGGGGTTTGTTTGGGACTTACTGGGAAAGTGAGTGATATGTAAGGCTACCATCTTATACTAGAGTAAATTGCTGCTGCTGTTCTTGCTACTGCTGGGGCTTGCTGGGGATTTTGCTTGATCAGAATTAAAGAACAGCCAGTTACACTGTATTTCTTAGTTAACCTGCTTTTGGATAAAATCAGTCTATGTTCGTTCGGGTAAGGTTTTATACTGCTAGTTGAAATCATTTTAGTCTTTGTTTCCAGCTATCTTTTATGTGGTTGTGCTTACACTGGCTTGCCCTTTGAGTGGCTCCTTAACTGATAAAATTATTTCACCACATTTTAATTCAGCATATAGAATTCATTTCTAAAGGACATTGAGCAATCTTTTAAGTGCAAATATTAAAACAAACTATATTATAATTATTAATAGATTTTCATTAAACCAAAGAAAATTCTTAGTATTCTATGCATTTCATAGTACTTCTTATGTAAGAATTTCCAGTATGAAAAGATTTAGGTTATATCATGAAGTATTTCCACTTGTATTCTTTGTGGACTAGAGAAATAAATGAATGGTCCTTTCTAATGTTGACTCCTAAAGAAAAGAATAGTTCTTGTAGCAAAATGATTTAGTGTTATAGCACTCACTTGTTTTAACATTATACCAGTCTCTTGACCTATTGTAATTAAAAAATAAAATTGGACAAGTCCACCTATACCACTGCAAATACAAAATATTTTCTTCAGGTAAATGTGACTACTTCTAAATTCACATTCCTTACTGTGGTGTGAATCAGATCGAATTTAAGAGAAAAAGTACACATAGGGCATGTATACACAGAGAAATATACACACATATTAAGAAATTTGTTATAAGGAATTATTTTGCATGGTTGTGGTGGCTGATTAGGCAAGTCTGAAATACTGTGGCAGGCTGACAGGAAGGGAAGATCCTGAGCAGGAGGGAACTTGTGTCAGCACAAGCCAAAGCTGTTGTACATGGGTAGAATTTCTTCTCGCTTCTAAGGAAATCTTACCTGTTTCCAAGACCTTCTGAAGGATTTGGTTGTGCCCACTCAGATTATCTGGGATAATCTCCCCTAATTAAACTGATTAGAGGCTTTAAGTACATCAGCAAAATACTTTCACAACACATCTATCTAGATGGGTGTTTGATCGACTCACTGGGTACTGTAGCCTAGCTGAGTTAATACTTCAAGAAAGCCATCATCCAGTGGCTTTGGATAGTTTGCATAGAAAAAAATCAAAACAGAGTTTGTAATGTCCCTATATAAATGGATAGAATTAGATTAGCCTCAGGAATGCCAAATGTAATTGAGAATTTGTCTTCTAAAATAAGCATGTTGGAGTTTCTATTTAGATTCACAATAAATAGGCTTTTCTCTTATATAATGTTTATGATTTTTAGAGACAAGAGTAATGATAGAATTCTGTTAGTATTTTTTCAATCTTCTGAAAGAATTGTTTGTTGTCTGCTCTTTCACTCATGTTATCCCTTTTTGCTAAATACTCATGTGATGGCAGTACACTGGGGACATTGTTTCCCGTGCCATATATTGTGTTCTGTTTTACATTTTTGCTTTATTGCCTTTTTATAATCCCAAAT